GCTGGGGAATCCTGGGAGTTGAAGTCCACACGTCTTAAAGTTGCCAAGGTTGCTGGCTGGGGAACTCTGGGAGTTGAAGTCCACACGTCTTAAAGTTGCCAAGGTTGCTGGCTGGGGAACTCTGGGAGTTGAAGTCCACACGTCTTAAAGTTGCCAAGGTTGAGAAACACTGCAATAGGAATTGCACCTGGCACATTTCCAAAGATGCTGGTTAGGTTTTGGCAAAATGTCACTGGTTTTTCATGCACCAGCAGTTTGATTAGGGCACCTTTCCCCCCCTTCCATCTCGGGCCTCTTTCATTGATGCTTTCTGCCAGGGAGCACAGCAAACAGGACTGCAACAAAATGTTGCTGGGGGGGGAGCTTTAGCTCTGTCCTCAAGCCAATTGTACCTCCTTCCAGGATTCCCCACATTGTTCCAATTTTCCATCCTGCTCCCCCAAATCAGGCATAATTCTACGTACAGGGAATGGGCTCAGTCGTCATTAGAACTGAGGGGAGGGAAAGGGAGGGGGGTTTCCAAAATTTGGGTGCGGGTAGAAGACCTCTGCAAATCTCCATTTTGCAGCAAGCTGGCTGATCTCAGTCTCCTTGCTGGTTTTAACTGCCTGTGTTCTGACTTTTGCATTTGCTCCTTGGCTTTTTGGATTGTCGGGAGCTGCTCTGGTGTGGCGGTGACCGAAAAAATGGGAAATAAATTCAGTAAGCCAGCCAGCAAACAAACCAATTATATGCATATGTTGGGTAAACTGAACAGATTATTGTAACCTTGCTCCTCGCTCCTGCCTTTGCTTGTTCCTCTTATACCTTGTTTTTTTTTTTTAAAAAAAAGAATCTCCTCTATCAGGATGAATGGGGCATTGCTGTGAACCTGGAAGCCCAGTATCCTGTTACTTCCAGCTAAACTAAAAGGTATGGACCCTTCAGTTCTCATCTCTTTACCTCCCCTCCCCATCCCACCCCCTAGATATTCACTAGGCTCTGAATTTGTAGGTGAATACCTCTCCAGGCTACAGAACTGCTTTCCCCCGGGTTTCTCTAACACCGCCTCCCCTTTTAAAACTTCTGTTTACTGTACAAAACCTTTTGCAAAATGCTGGGAACTTACCGTGATTAACTTCAGCATCGCCAGCTAGAAAGATCTCCTGTCCCTTTTCTGTCCGACGGTTACTTAGCCAGTAGCATCACGGGCTTTGGGATGTGTTCACAATTTCCAGGAAGAGGGATATCGTACCAAGGCATAAGTCCGGGGCTGGGGAGGAAGAAGAGTAACGCTTCTGACCTTCAGATTATTCCTGCGATTGCTGAGTTACAGCCCCGTCCCAATTCCTTCCGAACTGAAGGAGATGAACTCTAAACATGCACGGAGCACTGCTGCCTAATCTCAATTCACATCATTCCCTTGTACTGTATAATCCCATCGTCTGTGTTTCCAGACTGTGCTAGGAGTGTGTAGGAGCAATTTCTAAGGTTCACGTCAGTGTTAACTGCAGCATGGCATTGCACCACCCAGGAAGCTAGGAGAGATGCTGAGACAGGTTACCCTCCAAACGTGCTGGACTACGGTTCCCATCCTCTCAAAACAGCACCGTTCCAAATTAATCCTCATCTGAAACCTTGTCCATACGGCCTAAGTCTCATTTTTCCCAAGGCAGAACTGAGTTAGGAGAGACGTCCCATACGGTGGAGCAGTTTACTGGAGGCTGTGACTGGGGAAGGCCGGGAGTGCAACCTTCCACCCTAGCCTACCTCACCGGCTTGTCGTAAAGGAGGAAGCAGGTGTCCCCCTCCTTAGAGATATGAGGATGACCTGCTGCAACGGTCAAGGGGAAAAGTCACTTTACCTTCGGAAATGTAAATTTTACTCTCTCGCCTTCTGGCTCGGCCACCACAACTTCTGCCCTCACCCGCTG